GTAATTTTGCGCCGTGTTCGTGCTTGCGTGCATGCGATGTGTGTGTGTGTGTGTGTGTGTGTGTGTGTGTGTGTTTAAACGTGGACGGATGAGTGAGTGAGCCAGTGCGCGCGCGCGTGCGCGATCAAACCGGCGCTTTTAAGCGCGACATAGGTAGCGTGAACCACGTCGTAATCGTATAACCGTCGGGAAAAATTGTCCACCGGATAACCGGTATTCACGCCCCTATACGACGTCTCTCAAACTCGACCCGGCGTCTTAGGCGAACTGTGTCGTGAAGGCGATCGCGACACACGCTTTTGCGGCGATTACGGAGCCGGAGTGTCGATCAACGACTTTTAATAGTCTGTCTATCAGCCGGATGAGACGAGATCCGCTCGCCTTCGATGGTTTTTAATTATTGATTGGGCGAACGGTAATTTCGGCTCGAACGTCTCTCGATCGACCACGCGGATATCGCCGACCGAGGCGAGTGATAATTACGAGCTTAAGAGCCCCCCGGATCATTGGCATGTTATTATTGACCGGATTCACCGGCATAAGTTAACGTTTAACTGTAGTTTAATCTGTTCTCTTCCAGCGGCGGCTATAACACAGACGGGGAAAAAGAGGAGGAGGATTTAGCCGTCGCTAAACAACGCCGACGGTGCTATATAGCGTGCCGCGCGAAATTTACCGTTGCGTTACACCGACCATTGACGTATCGCTACGTCATGCAAAATCAATGTGTCGCCGACTATTGACGTACTAATGCGTCACGTAAGAACACCACCGGGGTTGGCGATTATCGATGTAATGCTGCAGCAGCGCGCGTCTCGTTGCCCGTTATATTTTAATACCACCCCAACGACGACCGATCGTTTTATTTACACCAGCATCCCACAGACAGACTCAATCGAGCGATCGCCGAACGTGAAATGTAGCGGTTAATATCGTGTATTTAGCCGTCGCACGACACTATCGTCGAGACGGCGCTAAATCATTCTCGGATACCCGACAATCGGAAATACCGTTTCTGCGTCAAATCGTGCTGCACGTTGAATAAATCATTAACTCTCGGTACACGACTTCACAAGACGCGCGTGTTCTGTTTTATCTGAAAAGTTTCAGCTATCAATTTTCCGGGGCATTCCTAATTCAACAACTCCATTCAATTAGCGTAGTAGATACTGAAGAATACTGAAGATCCTAATATTTTACAATGAGCTGTGCATTAACATTATCAGCTCATTAACACTAATCTGGCACACTGGGGTTATTTTTTACTACACTCGACTTTTAATTTTGAATTATCCGGTAGAGTGAACCTTCGGTTCACGTGCTAAAGAGAATTATAATTGCTGAGAACATGAGGTTCAAACGCTGTTAAACCGTTATAATTGTCTATTATAGCAAAAGAGCAAAGTTCCTATAGGGTAGTTTTTGACACAGTGTGCTAGATTATACACAATGTATCAAAGTAAAATAAAGATGACCTCAAAGAGGAAATGTTCATGAGATTCGTCTCTTTATACGATTTGATTGCATTAACCAAATGTTTAGTGAAATATAAACGAACTAAAAATTTCAGCTAAAACTATCAGAATTCTGTTCAAGTTAACAAGGTTCTGGTTAATTAAACAAGACGTGTAAGTAGAACTTACAACTGTTCAACTGATACAGTTGCAAGTTCAGAACTCTTGTTAACTTGAACAAAATTCCGGCAACTTCAACAGGAATGTCTGGTTCGTTCATAGTTTATAGTTCACCAAATATTTGGTTAATTCAATTAAATCTATTTTTCCGTATATATTCGTGATAAAATGAAATGGTTAAGTGAATATTTGCAATCACTACTGTACATAATTCTATTCTATAGACTTGAAAGTATATTTGTTACTTCTTATAGATTTTTACTAACACTTTCACGGAACATAAATAAACGAGGGCGAAAACGACCCTAATATACCGAATTAGGGTACATGTATGCGGATTAAACACAAACATGCAATCGATGCACGTATCTTGCCTCGTGAGAGTTACCAGACTCATAAAGATCAGTTCATTACCGAGATCCCGCTGTCTTTTGCATAAAAATTGTTTATCCGTCTATACACGCAAACTCGCTTATTCCAAGACGTTATTCCAATCGTTTATTTCAAGACGGCGCAAAGAGACCGCGTTAAATGACACGTTAAAGCAGAAGGGCCACGTCTCGGAGTCGTCTCGCTTGCATAACTACGTCGAATTTTCCCACCGGGCCACGACTCCTCGTACCTTCAGGTCGCTCGTCAGGTGCTCCCTCTCTCCTCGCTGGCGCGGGGGCGCCCTAGCAAGCGCGACGAGGATGACGAGAGAGGCGGCACGTGGGGGCTTTACTCGTGCATCGACGAAGTAACGGTGCACGGTAACCGCGTCAGAGCCGGTGCTAGCGGTACTCGCCGGCGTTCCGTTACTCGACCGACAGATCCGCTAACGCGACTCACGCTCTCTCTTTCTCGCCCGTTGCTCGCTGCTCCTTTCTCCGTCACCGCCGCCGCCGCCGCCGCCGCCGCCACCGCCGCCGCCGCCGACATCGACACCGTCGCCACGTCGCCCCTCGCCTACCTGGACAAGTACCGGCGCATCGCGAGCCGCTCCGTCTCGCCGTGCGATTCGCGTGCTAGCGGAGTAATGGCCCGACGTTACGCCAACGCGATTACGCGGTTACGCGAGCGAGATCGTGGACCTGAGCGTCGTTACGGTATAAATGATACCAGAAGACGACGTGTCGAAGCGCGAGGTGTTTGCTTTAAAGTTCATTGACGTACATCGTACTGAGAGAACGAGCGCGCTCCTCGAGAAGAGAAATTTCGGACCCCTCTTTCTCACTCTCATCGTGAACACTCGAACTGAACCGTTATTGAGTCATTTAACTTGCAAATCGCAGCATGTTTCTGCACGATAATCCGGACAATGTACACCGAAAAAAAGATTTGGTAACGACCATTAAGCCTGGATAATAGCTACTAAGATGAAATGTTAGTTTCCAGCTACTAAGTTAGTTAACTAAGATGAAATGTTGGTTTCAGCTAAGCGTGCGCGTGTAGATAAATATAATCAAATTTGTTAAGCATTAACAAATAACCTTGCCAAGACATAATATCTATTGCTAAGGCTTGGTAACTGTCCAATTTATATGATAGATATCACTAAACAATTTGTTAAAATGAAATTATATTGTTTAGTAATATTTACCACATTATATAATGAATATACGAAATAATTATAATTTTAATAATAAAATAATTATAATTTTAATAATAAAATCAAATTATGTAGTGTAATCATTATCAAATTATTTGGCATTGTTTACCAAGCCATATTTAATTGGTTCGATTAAATGGAGAATTTGTTTTTAATTAATTTATGATTATTATTGGAGGATTAATTGGTAACTGTTACCGTATTCGATACTAATTGTACTAAAACATTGCACTAAAACGTCTAATTAAATATGTTTGTTAATTGAAAAATTAGAAAATTTATTTGTGGAATGATTCCACTAAAATAAACTTTAGACCCCACAAGCAAATTTTCAAGAATTGTTTCTTCAATGTACTTTGGTAATTTAGTTACTGTAATTTAGTAATATTACACTGAAAAAAATACTGGTAATTATTACTAAATTGCTACTTAGTTACAGAATTCAAATAAAAATTCAATAACTAATATCAAATATGATAATAATAATCAAATACATAGCACATTTAATGTATAAAGAACTTTTAATCACAGTCAAATAGACTAAAGATTTTAATAATACCTATCAAATATTTAACATCAGTATTGATCATCACCAAATATTTTACCAAGTATTTGATGACAATTATTGAGTATTTGATAAGTGTTATGAAATTATTCAATTCTATTTGACAAAATACTTAGTGACTGTTAACTGTTGTTGAGTTATTTCCAATATTTGCTAGTAAGTATGGCATTACTACATTTCTTAAAAGTAATATGGATATATTATAAATATATTATTATAAACATGAATAAACATGTTATTATAAACATAAATATTATAAACATGAATACAAAAATATCATTATGGCTCGTAGAACTCATCAATTTCTGCTCGATCATGAGGTAAAAACATCGATTGAGCGGATTTGTGAGAAAGCATGGTGACCGCTATAGGATCGAATAAAACCATAAACAGAATGTCACATATAAGGCGAGAAAAAACGTCGATGTAAAAAATAAGAAATATAGATGTCTTAAAATAATTTAAATAGTAAGATAATATTAATTTTTAAAATATATATAAAATAAAAAAATTTTCATCTGAGGTACAAGCTTTAATAATAGTTACCAAATATCTCATTTTCTGTTACTAATATTTGGGATTTTAACTTCCAGAATCTAATTTGATGATCTAAATGTATAGTTCAAACGACTAAACCTTGGTTCTGAGAACTATATATTTGTTTTATATAACTAAATTATTTCTTTATTACTACTTTATGCTTAGTCCGCATTATTTGACTGGATAATTTATATATTTGATACTAGTTGCCAAATATTCCACTGAAAAACTCAACTAAATGCATTGGTTAACTATCACAAGATTCTCTTTCGTTGTAAATCCCTGGAAACTGTCATGAAGAGTTTTCCAGTATTCTAGATATTCTTTAAGCATCTTTTGGATTGTCGTGCTATGTCAATAACGAATGGATAATGAAGCAGTAATCCCGATTCGTCGCCTCTGCAAAATTTCACACGAGACGAGCGTTTATTTTTCATGACAACAACCAATATGCACGTCTCTAACGTTGTTAAAGTTAGTTAGTTTCCCGTCTCTCTTCATTCTCCTCGTCGATTAGTTTCTCAATTTTCTGTCGTTGTCGAACAAATTAAAAGTCGAACAAATCAATAAAACGCTAAGAAGCGAAGTGTTAGGCAAAACCAAAGAAAAACCGCAAACGACTCTCTCTCTCTTTCTCTCTCTCTCTTTCTCTTTATCCCCAAGTCCATACCTGTTCCCGTGATTGGCGGCGATGTCAGTTGCGAGCTACTTATATCCGGGGGCTGTTGCGTTTGTTGTTGTTGCGGCTGCTGTTGCGGTTGTTGTTGCTGCTGTTGCTGCTGCTGTTGCTGCGGACTGCTCGCAGCGACATGCACGGCGCCCGGACTCGCTGCACTCTCAGCCATTTCTCTAGCGCGGTTGTTTGCTCTCAGCAATGATACTCTAATACAAACTATGGCATTTCTACGTGGTAATCAACGAGGAAAGTGTGGTTGTTGTTGCGTTGTTGCGTTGCGTCGAGGCCAGTGACGAGATGGCGATGAATGAATTGGTTGGACAGTCAATTTCGAGATTACTCGAGCGCTCGCGTGGGTTTCTCTCTATCCCATTATATACTCGTCCACATACACTCGCTCGCATATAAATACGTGCTCATGCGTAGATCAGTGTGGCTTGATTTTCATCATCGTCAGTGCGATTAAAGAGGAAAGCTCTTTAGCGCGTCTCTCTTTCTTGAAGCGGCCGATGCGTTCTCTTTCTTCTTGATCTTTCGTTGTTGTCCGTGTTCGATTGGCTGTCGGTGTCTGTCCCGTCAGGTTGATCACGTTGGAGGTGGTTATTAATGGCTCGTATCGGTACGCCACGCGACGTATCGGTATTTTAATCGTGTTAATGTCGTGGAATACTTCGGTTCCGATTTCGACATATTCGATCGATTTCTCGCGAATTCCGGGAAATTTTTTAGCGCGACAGCACGCGACAGAAAGCTCACTTCTGTTCGTTCCCGTGAAATTCGTGCTCGGTTCGATTCGTCAGCTTCGAAACAAAAAAGAAAAAAGGAGAAACAAGATGAGGGGCAACGACGAAGGGCCGAGGAAGTCGGTTTTTATATGATATTCAGATGTTCCCCCTGTATCGTGCGTAACATAAGACTCCCGCGACTAACCTCTTCAGCTCAGGACGTTCAGGGGAGTACGAATTGTGCACGCTCGCGAACGAGACGAATGGTGCACGGACAAATTCGGAAACAGAGAGAAACTGCGAGCTGCAGGTCGGACAGGAATAGCAGGAGCGACGACAATAAACATCAAGGAGGAAAGTGTGGAACAGGGGTAGTTGGGGCGGCCTCGGGTGGCAGCCTGCCGAGTCGATAGGTCAGTGGGTCTCGTTCGGAGAGAGTCGCTTCGATTCAACCACGCGTTTCCTCACGCGCAGCCTCGAAAGAGCGAGGGAGCGTAGCGGTCGAAGTCCTTACACCCGGCGCGAGTTCTACCTGTTCGACCGATCTCGAATGTGGAAGCGCGAGCACTATCGACGTGACAACCCGAGCAACGAGGCTTTTACCGCGGTCGGTCGTTTCTTTTTTTTCCACGAGTATAATAATATTCGCGCGAGAACCACCCTCAACGATACATCAGCGATTGTAACGAGCGATCTTGGCGATTTCACGGCTCCCATACGAGGTCGCTTTGGCGAAGCAGCGCGTCACGTGGGGTGGCGATTGGTATACGTCGCGAACTATGGCGTGCATACTTGAAGAAGATGATCGTGCGAGAACAGTTTTACCCGCCACTTTCATTCACAAGCCGCGTCTCGGATTAATTTCCAGTAAGGCCACTCCAATAGCTGTCTTTCCACGGTTGTCCAAGTTCTCCCACACACTTATTCCTTCATAAAGAGCACCGTTCCATATCCGATTATGGATAGCTCAAGACTCCGTGGAAGCGAAAAGCGAGCAATGTTTCGACGAGGAATCTCGCGAAGAGCTGATTCGATTGGCCGGTCGACGGATATCGCTCGAGAAGCCGTGCTCGAGCCATGTCGTCGTCGGCTTGTCCTTCGCGGCGATCATCGACTGAGAAGCGTCGGGATCGGTGATCGGATTGCAGGTCCGAAGGACAAGCGGAACAATGCTCGCGACCTTCGGCGCTTAATTCGGCGACTACGGTCGATATCTCTCTCTCGTCACCCCGAGTAGCGGTCTCGCGCGTGATTAAATACTCGAGCACTCGAGTCGCGACCGGATGCCTAGCAGTCCCCAGACTATCCGCGACTATCAGGACGCTTCTGTGTCGTCGCGGGCTGTCGTCACGTCAATTTTCGTCGATCACTAACATCCTCGTTCGATCACCACTGTACTGAGAGCCACCCGCATCGCGAATCACTCGTCATCGTGTCGCCGTCCTGCGGGACATCCGCGGGACGCGCTATCTTCGTTGACGAACAAGGAGGAGCATCTCTTGACGAGCTGGAGCGCTTTCTCGTGTCTGATAATGTTGCCCGATTCAGATCTTCGTGTGATCACCGGCGGAGCTGACGCCGGGGGTTGCGGACTGACGCACTCCAATTGTTACGAAGGGTAGTAGCAGCAGCAGCAGCACAGCGGAAACGTGGGACGAGCTCGGGGTTGGATTCGAGGTTATCGTCTCGTGGTTACACGTCGTGGCTCGTCGTCGTCGTGCACGTCGATGGTGGAAGCAGTGATGGGCTCGCGGCTCGTCGTCGCGGAGCGAAGGCACGTTACTTTTTCGTTGGTAACACGAACGGATCACGCGCGCGCGCTCTCGCACGCACGATAACGAACGCGTCACGCCGACGATGTGTCAACCTTGTGCGCTCTCCTGGATCCCGTCGTCCAGGAGGAAGCCCGGTCGAGTCCTCGTCCCGGGCTCGAACCTTCCTTCCTTCCTTCCTTCCTGCCGTCCTTTCGTTTCGGCGCTATGCACTTTGCGGGGCACCAGTGGCTCCTGCTTGCACTGACCGCCAGCAGATGGCGTCCGAGGACTCGACTCGCCCCCGAGCAACCCCGTTACGCCCCGGAGCCCTCGCCATCACCACCCCGCCCGGGTTACGCTAGCTAGCGAGGGGTTTCCACCCCTGCGCAATATCGCTCCGCGAGGTGGAAGGGCTCTCCTACCATGTTGAGGTCATTACTCAAGTCGCGATGTAGAACAAGGGAGAGTAGTAATTGGGGAGGGAAAAGTAAAGGAGCGTACGCTTAATAGCGATGCGTGGGATAAATAATAAATGAATTATCAGCTAGTGATGACAATCTGACCACCACGTCGAATGGTACAGTTGTATACATACAGATAAACAGATTGCATTTAAATGAATGCTGCGCTGAGAAAGAAAGATGTAAAAATTTTTTGTTTGTTTGTAAGATATATTTATTTCTGTGAAATAAAGCTTATTTTACAGAAAATTGAAATAAAAAATTTGAAATGAATATCATATTTCACAAATAAATTTTCAAGTATTTTTCTCTTAGTGTACTTGTTTCAAGTATTTCACTAGTTTCTATATCTGCTATCTATCATGAGTCATATACGGAAAGAAGTTAATTACAGCAATAAAAATTTGTATATGTGGTAGCTAAGTCTCATTATAATATATGAACACTTAAAAGTATAGCTACCAATAGGCATATATTTAGCTAACAGATATAGTAACAATTAATTTAAAATGATTTAGAAACATATATAGTAGCAATGATAACAGAAGTTTACAGTTGCAAATTTTTACTTAACTACAAATACATCAGTAAACTATGATTGGCACTAAAACTTCTTTTTTCCGTATAAGTATCAAATTTATCCCAAATACACATTTTAAATTCTAGTAAATTTAATATTTTAATTAGAAATATTAAATTAAAATAAAAACTCGGTTTGCTTACTATAATATTCTTGCAAAGTGTATAAACGTTTCTCTTGAGTGGATAATAATAAACTTTTTTCAAATTTGTGATGAATATATTTTAATGTTATTGTAGAGAAAAAATACTTATTGTAGATAACTATTAGTTAAAAAGAAGAAAGTAAAGTGAGTATCACTTTTCTTAGTATTAAAATGACATTTTTCTATATATAGTTTTCAACATTATACATACAGTAGATTAATGTATTCGTATTATTATCGTTGTGTCGCACATTTTTGTTGACATTTTCTACATTTTGTTATGCTCCGTCTGTCTGTGGGTTTGCTTTGGTAGAGGTAAATTATAAAATTATAAATATTAACGCGGTTTGTGTTTACATTTTCCCTCGTACGATTTTGTCACGCGTATATTTTTTTACGTTTTCATATATATATATATTTTGTTAGTACTTTTCTTATCTGAAATATTATTGCAAATGTTGAAATGGTATATTTATGGAATTGAATTACGCGCGAAAATTCCTGCTCATGAATGGAAGAACTGGCGTAAGGTGGCTTTTGCGCGATTCAGGGTATGATACACTCTTGCGCATGTGCGACTCCCGCGCGTCTTTGCTACTCTTCCTTCGATCGCGTTACTAGCTCGAGTTCGTTGGAGAATAGTCTGTCTTATCGGATAGACGATAGCACGGGCTGCGATGCGGCTGTCTGTTACTTTCACGACGACATTTTCACCATTCGCCTTCTTTTTTGATAATGGACTAGGAGCAACCTAAGTGCTTTCATTAAATACCGTTAAATAATCAATTCTTTATTAATGAATAATTGGCAGAACAAAATAAGGAATAACGTCGTGTTTCCCTTTAGCAGAGTGTATTAAATTTGTAATATTTTTATTATTGGAAATTTTGTAATATTTTTATTATTGGAAGAGAGAATGTTGATTAAAATGTTTTACCAAATAATTCAGTTTATTAAATATTGTAATAATAACCGGAATGACAATCAGGTCGATAAAAGTTTCTCGCGCTTCTTCGCGACTCATGGAAGCCGGAGGTAACGGCGAGAGAAGTCTCCGAACGATAGCTTTTAATTTCGTCGGTCGACTCATGCGCCGAATACGTTTCCGCGAGGAGGATCCTCTCCTCCGCGTTTTTATCGAGTGACTCGGCGAATATACCGCGCTACCGTTATCGCGCACCCTTTCGAACGGATTCGCATGACTCGAGCGTGTCCGTTCGCATTAATACCGTCTCCGGGATGCGAACGGAGGGGAACCGCGCGCGAAATCGGCCTCTCCTCGGGGCCCCGCGGAGCAAGCCTCGCATCGGGCCCTGCGCGAGAGACGCTCGAGCCGCTGCATTTTCAGAACGGTACTCCTAACTGTATCTCGCATATGTATACGCGCGTACGTGCGCCGCGCCGCTCACCTGTCGGCCAGCCGCGCGCACCGATCGCCGAACAACAGCAGCCGATGAACCCGCCGCGGCCATTGATCAGGAATGAATTGACGTATCTCTATATACCTTCGTACTTTATTTTTATCGTCGTGTGTCGTATGTCGAATCTCATGTTTCTCGAATTGAGTGTCTCGAGTCGACCACATCGTGGTATTTTGAGTCGGGAAATCATATCTGAACTCGTGAAACGACATGCCAAAATATTTCTCTAAAAATGTTTACTACTTTTTAAAATTAATTATTGAACTGTGTTTCGAGTTTTCGATTCAAAGAATTCGAAGAAAGTAAGCATGTTTTAGGTCGAGGAAACGTCATAATCGTTATTTTGAATATTTTTAAATAATTGATAGGTGTATATCTAGCGATATAAAAAAGAATTTCTTGTGAGAAACGCTCTATATAATTTCCTTCTTGACAGAAATTGTATGATTGATTCAAAGGAAAAAAAAAGTTAGAATAATATTTAATAGATGCCCAACTAATAGCCAATTCATTCAAGTCAATAGTTTACTCTATTAGAATAATCAGTAAGAGTTTTCGCTTAAAATATAGGATTGCAAGAATTATCTTGCAACTTTCTTTTTCTTTCGGGTATTAGAATATTCATCTTTTAAATTGAAAAGAATCTTCTACAGACTAATATATAAGAGAATTTGGGTGAGATTGTATTTTAGGGGGTAATAAATTATGAATATTTGCTATACACATAGTCTTCGTGTTTTTAGATACCCAGATGGATAGATGTATATAAATTTGGCAGTAACTTTATTAATGTATTTGGAAATATTCTTTTCGTTGAAATAATTTAATACTTGATAAAACACACGTGCATAATAATTGAAATAAAATTATTAACTCATAATTCTTTTTCACGAAAAAAGCAAATTTTGCTATTTATTTGTGTAATTTCTTTTCACGTGAGTGTTAATGTGTGAATGAGTTAAGTGAGACTCTCGCACTTCGAAGAAGGATGCACGAGGACGAGGAGGAGCGACGGTTAGCGGATCTTCTTCTACGCAGATACTTACGTACATGCGGGTCGCGTGTACGGAGACTCACGTAATGTGGGCCCGTTGCTGGAGATACCGTAAGACCTTGCGGTGTTACGTCACAGCGATAGAGAACCGGCGCGCGGTTAGGAAACGGAAAAGAAGGAAGGCGTACAAAGGACGACAGAGAAAGGGGTAGAGGAGAAAGGAGGGGCAGCGAGCATCCTCTCTCTGTGTGCTCCAAATTACGATTTTCGATGCAGCGTTGAACTCTATTTTCACATCCACGTGGGTGAATTAGGACAATCGATGGAATGACTATGAATTTAATAATAGAATTTATATCCCACAAATATAAACAAAATGAAAAAAAGAGGTTGGAGATTTGATAATGCTTCTTAAACATCTACAGACAATGTTCGCGTACAAAGGCGACTATTTGCTGCCCGCTTTGCAAAAAAGAAAAAAAATATTAGAATAATAATACCTGTCGCCAAATCTAATACGACGAATCCTTATTGGTCGAATTCTCATGCTATCAACAAATCATTGGACGCTTCGGTATCGCTCGTCTGGAAGAACATTTCAATGCTTACCCGCGACCGCTTCTTGGAACTGATTGAATTTCCCCGAATTCCAACGATTCTTATTATATTTGTGTCCCCACATTCATCCATATATTTACGGGATATCTTAAGGTGCATATTGTATTATTAGTCAAAAACTTGGATTTGTTTTATTTTTATCGAAAATTTTCTGTGAAGTTTAATCACCGCGATATTTTATAACAATTGTGATGAATTGTGAAACTGTAGATAATATAATTAAATTGTAATTGTTTTTAATTCCTAATTAATTTATAATTCAAAAGAGAGAAATTGATATAAGATACACGAACTAATGAATGCATATCATGTTTAATATTAAATAGATGTATGATGTAAAACGCTAAGTGGTCAAGTGTCTTGAAATTTTAAAAGATAGAATTTTAATTTTGAAATTTAAAAAAATAGAAAATTTTAATTTTTCTATGTAAAAGATAAAAAAGATGTAAAAGTTGGGAAATCTACAGATCACGTTAGATTAGATTTGACACAAGCGAAAATTATTTTATGATGCAAAAGTAATTTCGTTTACATTAAAGATTATTAAATCTTTTAAGTCGAAATTTTTTATCGAGACATATATACAGTGCATTTCTTCTCCCTTCTGTCATTCTAGCTTGATTAAGTAGACAACTGAAAATCCGTGTACAATCTCAGAATGCATTTAACGTCGCGCAATCGTAAAAGTAAATCGGGCCAAAACAGCCGTTGACTTTCCGCACGAATCAAGGCGAGTGGGTTAGAATCGTGGATTCCCGCTAGTTTTATACCGTTTGCCGTTACCCTCTCATGCGTGCGTACGTACGTGCGTGCGTGCGTGAGCGCGATTCCGATTTGCGGATGTTTGGCTTTATGCGAGTCGATGCGCGTCCTGATAAGCTCTCATCGCGTGCAACGAATTGTTTGCGTCGTGCTCGCTAACGAAATTTTTTCCATCAGTCTCCCGCAATTTATTTTCTAATTTATTCCTGGATTATATATGACGACAGACACGCACAGCTCATTATATTCGTGAATAATGTGAGCTTTTAATGAATTCAAT